TCTGCTAAGGATTTAGCCATGAGTTCACAACTAAAGGGTATCTAACCCTACTATTTTTCACTGATGCGCATTGTTTGAATGCGATACTAATGCTCCTGTAAATTATCTAAATTTAATACTAACTTTGTGATGCATTATCTGAATGCCATGCTAGCTCTACTGTACGTTATCTAAATGCAATACTGGCTATACTGTGCATTATCTGAATGTAATATTGACTTTGTTGTGACTCTTACACTGGCTAAGGTAGACATCATAGTGCGGCTGAGGGGTTGTATCTCGGAGCTCACACATCCCTCTATCATACTCGATACTAATATATATAATACACAATAACAAACATAAAGTTATAGTAGGCATTATGGTGTGGCTCAGGGGCTGCATCTCGAAGCTCACGCGCCCCTTTAGCCTACAGGTATACCCTCGGGTACACCAGGGTGAGATCCGAAACTGTATTAGAAACGTACACCCAACCAACTTACTCCGTCGAGTCTTGGAGAATCTACACCCATCTGGTAAAAGAAATGCCTCGGCAATGACTGGTATATACCTAAACATACTTATAAACCAAACAACTTCCCTACTGCTAAAGTAACTCAGTTTTCCTGGCTGTTTTTAGAGTGTCACAAAAAGGTTAGTTCATGTCATCCTAGTTGTTACTGTTCTAGCTGTTATTGATACTATTTTTGGTTGTTGTCTTGTTCGTTCTGTCAGTTAGAACATGATGTGAGGGTTAGTAAATATGTTACTGCTAATAATTTGTATTGATCTGGTTATATATATTATTTAAGGGTATTTTAGTCATTTTTTAAATCTAGGAAAATCTCTACACGATTCGAGACTTCACTATGATTTATGTGTTTACTATTTACTGGCTGAGGTTTTGGTTGGCTTGATATCTGACTCGGGTTCATTTCTGGGTAGCGATATTCTATTTGCTAATACTACATTTTCCCTTAATTTGCCCTCAAACTCAAAGAGTAGTTGTACATCGAACACTCTCGGTCTTTCTTGTAGTTTACTATACTATTGTCTCATTATCTAATTACTTGGTCATACCTCTCCTTGGTACACCGTGCGCATTGATCCTCCATCCATAAATATTTGTTACGCGCTCACTGAAGATTCTTGGATGTATTACGCCTGTTGTGGTTACACTTGTTGTAACCCACTCCTATGAGTGTTATTAGGCCCCTTCGGCCATTCACATCCTTCACAGACTAAGTCTTATCCTTACGGACCATCCCTAGTTATTACCAACATTGATCGGGTCGAATCTGACCATACAAAGTAGGTAGTATCGATACTCTGTCTGTATTATCGATACCCTAGGGTCAAGTATTGACATCCCTACGAATATCGATACCAAAATGTATTTTATTGCAAAAATGGGGACTCACTATTGATACTGCTACCTTGAGTATCGATACTCACCCTGGCAGTATCGATACTCCCATATGAAAACCCTAATTTTAGCTCCAATTCAACTAATGTCTATATTGTTCATCCCAGTATCGATACTCAAACCCTAAAATTAATATTTTAAGCTCGAGAAAGCACCCAAAATCATAATAAATGATTTGGGTTGGTTCATAATATTGCCATGAAGATTTAGTAAGTTACTTAGGGTCTTTAAGTGTCATAAAAACACTTCCTTAGCACTTAAATCGTGATTTAATCTTAAAATCAAGTTTAAACCCCAATGAGCTCAACTACACAAATCTTAACAAATTCCTAAAATTTATAAAAGTTTAATACTCCAAAGGATTAGATATACACTACCTTACTAATTGAATCTCGAAATGAAGTTCCTTTGGCTAACAATCGTCCTCCGCCATGGCTTGGATAAAAACCCATCACTTATTCTTGCAACCAAAGAAGCCAAGGCCTTGATTCCTTAAAATGATGTTACTAGTAGGATTATAAACGAAATTGAAGTTTTAAAGAGGTAATAAATGGTTCAAAGGACTAATCTTTGGCTTAAGGATCTTGAGGAGGAAAAAGAAAGAAAATGGAAAATGAGAGGAGGAAAATGAGAGGAAGAAAATGAAATAAGATATATAAAAGCTCTCTTCCTAAAAAATAAGGTAATTATATTATTGGTCCCCTTATCTTCATACTATGTAAAATTCCCCTTTTTATGACTAAGTGGGCCCACTTCTAATCTAATAAAGCCCAACAACTTGAATTATAATTTCTGTGGGGTCTACTTACCTCTCGAGTAAACCTAAAACTACTAGCCTGAAATTTGAGGTGTTACACCATTGGTTGGTTAACTACTTTTCCATTGTTGTTCTCTGTGTGAGTTTTTGCACTTGCTCTACACTGTCGATTATTTTCTGTCATCCAACGACCATAGATTTCTTCGTTGGTTGTATTTGGATGCGTTGGTTGCACCTGTTGAACTTTTTCTATTGTCATTTACATCGTAGTCATGTTTCTTTTGTGTGACTGATGTAAGTTGAGGCACGCTTCAATGGCCTCTGAAATGGTGACAACTTGATTGTAGAAACTAGAAGTAAGCAAGCACCTGCAACAAGTGAATAGCTTAAAACAGAAGGGTTAAAAGTAAGTAAATGTAAAGGTTTTAAGGTAGGTTTGAAATATTATAATGAGTGTGGAAGATGGTTAAGTGTTTGGGCTATGGTAATGGTTATGAAAGAAATGGATAGTTTATGAAAGGTATCTTGAATAAACCAAGGAAGAATCAATGTTATATGGAGCAGAGACCCAACCTTAAAAATCCATTCAAGGGGTGGTAGAATAGGACTTAGACCCACTATATATAAGAGAGATATGAACAATAAATATCAATGGAATAATAGAGGGATTGACGCTACAAGCGTTACCAATTGATAAGTCTCTAAAAAGACTAAGTAAAAGATAATGATTCTCACAATATATTTGATGAAAAAAGGTTGTTTTTACAATGAAATGTGATAGCCTATTTATACTAAATGAAATGGAACAAGGCCATTAACTAGATTACTATTAGTCAATGTGTCCTTTTAATTAAAAGACATAATTATTTAAATATATGCATGATGAAATAAGATGAAGATTTAACCTAGATGAAGGGGAATGATCATTGGTTGAATGGGTGCCTTGGCTCTTTAATTTTCTGCCACGTTGGTTGGTTATGAAACCTTGGCAGAATAGATAAATAACTCCTCATTTTGGAGCCTAAGAACTGCACATGCAAGGTACACGGCTAGGGGGCGCACACATTGCACATGGAGGCACCATTGGTCTTTTGGTGTGGTATCGACCATAGGATGATATGTGTTTAGCAGCCAAAAGGTAAGCTAGCAACATGGTGAGCTAGGTGAGTGTTGTTAGCTAACTATGTGAGCTATAGCTTGATGAACTCAAGCTAGCTAGCTATGGTCTTCTAAGCTCCTCAGCTACTCTCCCAGCTACATCGAGTTACCTTTAGTCCACTTTTAGCAACTTTATTCCATATGGCTTCCTCAACTAAGTTTAGCTCCAACTTAGCTCTTGCAACTAAATTGAACTTCCATGTGATCTCCATGAGTTGTCATAGTCTTTGTGAGCTAATTGTGAGCTGCCATGCTTTGCCAAATACTCTACCAAGCTACCATAAGATGTTTCTTCCCTTAATCTACCTACATGGATAAATGAACTAAGGTAAAGTGAAAGAAATGAGCTTGAATGAATCAAAATGCATATTGTCGTGCATGTATAAGTACTTGTGAGATATATGAATGAATGCCATGAGCTAAGTATATGATGATGCAATGTTAATGAGCTAATATATTAGTCTTATGAGCTGAATTATCATGCAACGAGTTAAAGAAATTATGAATAACATGTTGTCATATTATAAATGTAATGGAATCAATTCAAATGAATGCAAAACTAATGTAAATCAATAATAAACTAAGTAAAGATATGACATATTATTATGTGGCATATATTATGTTATATTTCTTATCATCCAAAGCTTGTATCTTATCAAATGAATGGAAAGAATTTATACAAAGGTTAGAAAGTACTTCTTTAAATGTCTTATCCTTAAGCCGCGTAAGAGGACCTTTGGGCATAATTCCTGATCTTCAATGAATTCCTTAGGCGTGCTTGTATCATCCTCCCTTCTTTTAGGTTCTTTTCCCTTAAATCGTCGTTATCTTCATATAAAGAAAGGTCAAATACATTGAAAGAAACATTTACCCCATAATTTCCTATAAGGTCTAGTTTGTAGATGTTGTAATTCATCTTTTCCACAATCTGGAAAGGTCTATCTCTTCTTGGCAAAAGTTTTGATTTCCTTTGATTAGGAAACATTTCTTTTCGTAGATGCACTCATACCCAATTGCCAACTTCAAAGGAAACCTTATTTGACCCTTTGCTTATTTTTTCTTCATACTGACGTGTTCTCTTTTCAATGTTGTCTCACACTTGTTGATGTAACCTTTTCACATATTTAACCTTGTCCTTTGTGTCTTTATTCATCATATGCTCATAAGGAAGAGCAATTAAGTCTAAAGGGGTCAAAGGGTTGAAAATATACACTACCTCAAAGGGAGAATGTTTAGTGGTTGAAAGAATGGTTTGGTTGTAAGAAAACTCCACGTGAGGTAAGCAATCTTCTCATGACTTGATGTTCTTTTGGACGATGGATTGTAGAATAGCAGATAAGACTCGCTTTACCACTTCGATTTGCCCATCAGTTTGAGGATGGTATGTTGTTGAGAAAAGTAATTTGGTTTTGATCTTTCTCCATAGGGTTATCTAAAAATGACTTAAGAACTTGACATCATGATCGATACAATTGTTCGGGGAAGTCCATGCAGACACACCACTTCCTTGAATAATAGATTGGTTATATGTGTTGCATTGTCTGTACTATGACAAGGAATAAAATGAGCTATCTTTGAGAACCTATCAACAACAAAAAATATATATTCGCGTTCGTTTCTTGTTTTTGGTAACCCCGTCACAAAATCCATGGATTTATCCACCCAAGGCATCTTGGGAATAGGAAGAGGCATGTATAGCCCATGAGGCATGACTTTTGACTTGTCTCTTTTGCAAACAAGGCACCGTTCACACAATGTTTCAACATATTTCCTCATCTTTGGCTAAAAGAAATGTTCTTCCAATATGCTTAGTGTCTTGTCTACGCCAAAATGTCCCATGATGCCTCCTTCATGTGCTTCCTTTGCTAAGAAGCCTCGAATAGAACCTTGTGGTATGCATAACCTTCATTCCTTTAAAAGATATTCTTCATGCCTATATAACTTTCCATTGGTTTTTGCTTCACATATCTTGTCATTCTCTCTAAAATCAAGGTCAGTAACATATTGCTCTTTTATGAATGAAAAACTAAAAAGTTTGGAATTTAAGGAATTAAGTAAAACATGCCTTCTTGGGAGTGCATCAGCAACCATATTATCTTTACCTTTTTTGTAATGTATGACATATCGAAATGACTCAATAAATTCCACCCACTTGGCATGACGTTTATTGAATTTATGATGTCCTTTAATGTGTTTTAAGGCTTCATGATCAATGTGTATCGCTAACTTTTTTGGCCATAGGTAATGTTGCCATGTCTCTAAGAATCAAATAAGTGAGTACATTTCCTTGACATATGTTGGATAATTCAAGGATGCAACACTTACCTTTTCACTGAATAAAGCGATGGGTCATCCCTCTTGAGACAAAACGACACCAATGCCTATTCCCGAAGCATCACATTCAATCTAAGAAGTTTTCTCAAAGTTTGGCAGAACTAGAAGATGTGCCTTCATTAGACACCTTTTGATCTCCAAAAATGCATCTTCTTGTTCTTTTCCCCATGAGAAGTTTGAATCATTCTTTATGATCATGGTTAAGGAGGCGGAAATATAACTAAAATTTGGAACAAACCTCTTGTAGAAACTAGCCAATCCTTAAAAACTTCTTACCTGACTTATGTTGCTTGGGCATGGCCATTCTTGTATTGCCTTAACCTTCTCCGGATCAACCTACAAACCCTGTGAACTTACAATAAAACCTAGAAACGTGAGTTGGTTAGTGTAGAAAAAACATTTCTTTAAGTTAGCATAAAGTTGTTCTTTCATTAGTGTATCAAGGACAAATTTCAAGTGTCCCTTGTGATCCTCCATAGTCTTGCTGTAAATTAGAATATCATCAAAATAAACAACAAAAAACTTACCAATGAAGGGCTGAAGGACATGATCCATTAGGCGCATGAAAGTACTAGGTGCGTTGGTTAAGCCAAAAGGCATGATTAACCATTCATACAAACCTTGATTCATTTTGAATGTTGTTTTCCATTCGTCTCCTTCACGTATTCGGATTTGATGATAACCACTTTTCAAATCAATCTTCGAAAAGATACATGCTCCACTTAGTTCATCAAGCATGTCATCCAACTGAGGTATAGGGTGGTGATATTTGATGGTAATCTGGTTCACTGCTCGGCAATCCACATACATTTGCCAAGTTCCATCTTTCATTGGAACCAATAGGACAGGTACAACACAAGGACTCAAGCTTTCCCTTATGTAGCCTTTATCTATTAGTTCTTTGACTTGCTGTTGCAATTCATTGGTTTCCTCGGGATTGCTTCGGTATGCCGACCTATTTGGTATGGTTGCTCCTAGGATTAAATCTATTTGGTGTTCAATGCCTCGGATAGGAGGCCATCCATTTGGAATTTCTTTAGGGAATATGTATTCAAATTCATGCAAAAGATAAAAATAGAAGAAGGCAAACCTTAAGGGGAATTAGTAATAAGGAAACTTTATTTGTAAATAAGTACAAGAAAAGTTTTGTTTGCTGCCAAATGTTTCCAAACTTTCCCTCATTTGGCATAGATGTTCATTTTAGGAGGATAAGATTTCTTTTCATCAATGACTTTCTTTATTGTTTTCGTGCTCTTGCAAATGGCAACTTGTCCTTCATGCACTTGAACTGGAGATAGTGGCACCAATGTGATTCTTTTACCTTCATGTTGGAAAGTGAATTTATTGGTGAATCCATCATGCATAACCCTTTTATCAAATTTTCATGGTCTTCAGAGCAAGATATGGCTGGCATTCATGGGCACAATATCACGTAGGGCTTCATCTTTGTATTTTCCAATAAAAAATGGTACAAGCACTTGTTTTGTGACTCTTGTCTCACCAACATCATTAAACCATTACAATTTATAAGGGTTAGGATGCTTTATGGTTTTCAATCCCAATTTCTCCACCATTAGCGTGCTGGCCACATTGGTGCAACTTCCACCGTCGATGATCATCAAGCATACTTTGTCATTTATATGACAATGAGTATGGAGGATGTTTTCCTCTGTTAATCTTCATGATATTATATGTTGAGAGTCCTTTTGACCACTAGGACACTGTAGAAAGTAGAAGGAAGATATTCTTACAACATGTTAGTAAAATAATTAATAAAATGAGATTATAGGACCTTACCAAGTAGTTCACTCACAAAGCCTCACAAATCCACTCAAAAGAAACTAGAATGTCACATATCACTCGAGTTTGGACGCTAATTGCCTTTTGTGTGTCCTATGTTGTTCTCAATGCTTTCTTTGCCTTTTCCACTCAGTTCTCTTTAAGCAAAGTCTTTAAAAGACTTACTCAAGACCTTTCAAGTAGATTAACTTAGTGTGCATTGCTGCAAAGTATGGTTAGGTATGGAAAGAAAAATATATTGTAAACGATAGTTTAGAAATAGAAAGAAGAGAAAGAAAGCGTTACTCACTTTTCAAGTGCTCACAACCCCACCAAATCACCACAGTCAAGTCTTCAATTAGCCTTGACTTTAATGATAGAGATGAAGAAGAAAGCTTTGTAATATTTCAATTGAATGTACCTCTTTTTTGTGTTTTTTGAGATTCTTTTTTTATTTTTGAATCAACACTTATTTTTTATTATTTTTATGTAAGACTTCATTTGTTATATTACTGCTTCTTCCACCTTTTCCTCTGATTACCATATGATGTAAGTTGAGGTAGGCTCCAATGTTCTATGAAACAACGACAACTTGATTGTAGGACTTAGGAAGTAAGCAAGCACCTACATCAAGTGAATGACTCAAAATAGAAGGGTTAAATGTAAGTAAATGTAAAGGTTTTAAGGTAGGTTTGAAATATTATAATGAGTACGGAAGATGGTTAAGTGTTTGGGCTATGGTAATGGTTATGAAAGAAATGGATAGTTTATGAAAAGTATCTTGAATAAACCAAGGAAGAACCAATGCTATATGGAGCAGAGACACAACCTTACAAATCTATTCAAGGGGTGCTAGAATAGGACTTGGACCCACTGTCTATAAGAGAGATAGGAACCATAAGTATCAATGGAAGAATAAAGGGATTGACGCCACAAGTGTTACTGCTTGATAAGTCAATAAATTATAAAAAGACTAAGTAAAAGATAATTATTCTCACAATATATTTGATGAACAAAGGTTGTTTTTAAAATGAAATATGATAGCCTATTTATACTAAATAAAAGAAAACAAGGCCATTAACTAGATGACTATTCGACCAATGTATCATTTTAATTAAAGACATAATTAATTAAATACATGCATGATGAAATGAGATGATGATTCGGCCTAGATAAAGGGGAATGATCCTTGGCTCTTCAATTTGTCTCCAAGTTGGTTAGTTATCAAGCCTTGGCCGAATCGATAGGTGACTTCTCATTTTGGCGCCTAAGGAGTGCACATGCAAGGCACACGACTAGGGGGCACACACATTGCACAAGGAGTCTCCATTGGTCTTTTGGTTTGGTTTAGGCCATAGGATGATATGTAAAGTCTTTGGCAGTCAAGAGGTAAGCTAGAAACATGGTGAGTTAGGTGAGTGTTTTGTTAGTTAACTAGGTGAGCTATAGCTTGATGAACTCAAGCTAGCTAGCTATGGTCTTCTATGCTCCTCAGCTACTCTCCCAGCTACATCCAACTACCTTTAGTCCACTTTTAGCCACTTTAGTCCATATGGCTTCCTCAGCTAAATTTAGCTCCATATTATCTCCTTCAACTGAATTGAGCTTCCATGTGATCTCCACGAGCTGCTATAGTCTTTATGAACTAATTTTGAGCTACCATGCTTTTCCAAATACTCCACCAAGCTACCATAAGATGTGTCTTCCCTTGATGTACCTACATGGATAAATGAACTAAGGTAAAATAAAAGAAATGAGCTTGAATGAATCAAAATGCATGTTGTTGTGCATGCATAAGTGCTTGTGAGCTATGAATGAATGCCATGAGCTAAGTATATGATGATGCAATAATAATGAGCTAATATATAAGTCTTAGGAGCTGAATTATCATGCAATGAGCTAAAGAAATCATGAATGACATGCTGCCATATTATAAATATAATGGAATCAATTCAAATGAATGCAAAACTAATGTAAATCACTAATAAACTAATTAAAGATGTGACATATTATTATGCAATATATTATGTTATATAGCTTATCATCCAAAGCTTGTATCTTATCAAATGAATGGAAAACATTAATGCAAAGGTTAAAAAGTACTTCTCTGAATGCCTTAGCCTTAGATCGCGTAAGGGGACCTTTGGGCATGATTCTTGGATCTTCATTGAATTCCTTGGGCGTGCTTGTATCAGTGACCGTATATCCCATATGTGTAGCAAAATTGTTGGAGTCCTTCGTATTCTAGTTTCTGTATGAAGTTGTTGATTCCAATGCACAATTTGAAGGGTTTATTCAGGTCTACCATTACCGCTAGTCTCACGAACTTGCCTCTTTCCCTCTCTTGGTGTTATAATCCACTTTTATTACTTGTCTTACCACCTTCGTAATTCTTCGAAACAAAGGTTTACAGTAGTATTGGTATGGTAAACCGGGTAATCGAATCTAAACTATAACATGTGAGGGGTGTTTTTCCGTTGTAGAGAAGCTTTTACTCCATGGTTGCGCCGTTAGATAGTTCCCATAAATCGTCCATGGTCATTCCGTTAGGACATCATTGTAATCCCTTTCATCTTCGAATCTAACAAAATAGTAGTTATTTTCAAGATCGATGAGTTGCAGTTCCCCTTTTGGCCGCCAGAGGCAGTGAGTTTTGTTGAGTAGGGTTTTTGTAACCTATTGATCATCCTAATAATCTCACTATTTTCTCATGCTTCTATCGATTTGGTCATGGACTCTTTCAGAGAATTTGATCATCGGGATTGTGCCAGATTCGTCCACAATACAATTTTCATCCAAAATGACTACTTCTTCTATATCGAAACCTTGGACAAAACCTTCATTGTCGTGTGCATATGGATTCTTGGCCGCCTTTGATGCATATGATGCTTTATGAGTTGTTTCCGGATTTTTCATTGGTTCAAGATTGATTTCCTTATATGTTTCTTTGTTTCATCGTCTTCCATATCGATGGCCTCCGTTTGCATGGCTATTGTATCCTCTGCAGACTCATCTTTCCTTATCTTTTTAGCCGTTTGTTGGTCTTCAGACCGAATAGGGGAACCTGGACATTCCAGTATGGGCGGTGTACCCAGATTGGGTGTATTTTCTGATGGTCTTCTATTGAGTTTCCTTTGTGAGCAATATTCCTCTGTTTAGGGTTTCTTGGGGTTTTTTTTTATAACGATATCTTCCATTGATCTCTCGTTATATTTAGTAGTTTGTTTAATAATATGTTATTATTATTCAGTGAACTTTATTAGTTCAGGGATTAATGATTAGGCACAAATTTTATTAAATTTAAAAAATACTCTTTCTTAATTTTTATTTATACAATAATTAATAAATATGGTTTTAAATGAAAATATTATTTAGCTGAATAGATTATTAATAGTTAAATAAATAAAAAAGAAAGAAAGAGTGATTTATAAACAAATTTGAAGGGCAAAGAATGCCCCGAGAGCAACTTGGTAACAGCAATAAACACCGCAGCTCCCTACCCCGTGAGAATTGGTTTAAAATGCTCCTACTTCAATCTCACGCTCCTTATAATGTACGTGTTGTTCTCCCCCAACCCCCGCTAAGCGACTTTTTTTCTTCTTTATCCATTAATATATATTTAGGGTAAACTATACAAATGGTCTCTTGATTATAAAATATTATTTTGTTAAGTCTACTTATTATTAAAAATTATAAAATAATTTTTTAATTATACGGTGTTGATTTTCTGATTCCTCAACTATGCAAAGTTATAAATAATCATCTGACTATTCGTTTTTCAAGCTTATTCATTTTCATGAAAAATTGAAAGTTGTCTGAACTAGATGTTAACTTGTTAACTATGATATGATAAAATCTGATCTTATTGATCCTAAAATTGTTTGAGCTATATTTTTTAGATTAAATGTTTGTTTACATTATCTCATCAAGCTAGTGCTTGAAATATTATATTACCGCATCAATGTTTCAAAGCAACAACGGTGTCAATAAAGTTATTAAAATATAATTTTATCATATCTTAATCAATATGTTAACGTCTTGCTCAAAATATCATTAATTTTTTATTAAAAAATTAATTAAAAATATATGAATTATTTTATAATTTTTAATAATTGAATACTCTATAAAATAACACCAATTATTGGAGATTATGTTATAACTTTTAATGATTGAGACACAACAAAATAATTTCTTATAATTAAAGGACCATTTGTGTACTTTACCCATATATTTACTATATCATGAGCCGCCCGATCCTACATAAACTTCTGTACTTTGGTTTTTTCTATTGATCTTTCCAAAGTATCCACTGTTTTCATGAATCCTTGCAGCCTCGGAATTTCACCAATCCCGTGGAAATTAGGGGAATGAAACGGGGGAAATTAAAATGCGGGTAGAACTATGGGGGGAGAATATGGGATTGGTATAAGATTCAATACAAATTCGATTCAACTAAGAAACAGCCGTATGGTATTGGAATATCGTCAACGGGCGGAAGATATGAACATGGCGGTGGCCTTTGGATATCGGTTTCGATTCCGATCGGAAATCGATTCTTACTCAATTGCTTCCGAGGCATTCTCTGAAAAACAGCAGATTCTCTCATCGCCTTTGCTTCCCATTGGGGTCAATTTTGACCTCTAATAGCGTTTTCTGCCTTTTTGTTCCCTTCTCATTTGTTTTCTTTTTTCTTCTTTTTTTTGTGTGTGTGGATTTTTTGTTGGAATATTCGATCGTGTTCTGTAGTTGTGGCGTGGTTTAGTTCTTTCTGCGTATAAAAAGATGGAGGCGGCTGATGGTTGTGATTTCGCCGAGAAAGATCGGTGGGGTCGGTATGTACGGGTATATTTCGGCTCCGAATTTTTGTTATTGTTTATATATTTTTCTTCGGTTTTGCATTGTTAGGGTTACCTATATCTGTTTGGTTGCCAAGAATCTTTGAAGAAATCAATTTAACTTGTAAATCTCGAATTCGGATGGAATTTTTTTATAGTTTTTCTCAGATATATCAAATGCTGCTTACATTTTGGCTTAAGTTAATAGAAATTTAATAAATTGTGGCCCAAGGGCAATTTTTTTCATTAATTTTCTTCATTTTCCTGAATTTAACCAAAAATTGTTTGTCCTCAACTTTTATTGTACTATTAAGTTTGCAAATTACTCATGTTTTAATGAACAAGACAAATTTTGATTATAAGTAATGCCTTTGCCATTTTTATGCGGAATGCATATGTTTGGCCAACCTGAATGCGAATGTTGTCAAGCTATGCATAAAGTCTTATATTTTCCTTCATTAGAATTTGAATATTTGGTTCTTTTTTATTTAGTGATATATTATTTTTGGTTTGGTTTGTTTTTATTCCTTCAGTATGATGAGATCCTGGGGAAGGGAGCATTCAAGACTGTGTATGGGTTCATCACCTATCTTCTTTATATTCGGTTAACTTTTATAGGAATGTGGTTTTGATTGATTGATCCATTTTGGCTGCTACATTGTTTTTTCCTTAGTTACAAGGGATTTGATGAAACTGATGGAATAGTGGTTGCATGGAGCCAAGT